TGGCCTCGGCTCGCCCCTCAAGTGAGATAGGTCCGAAGTCTGAAGCTGTGGTTGGGAGAATTGACTCGGTATGGTGTAGCGCCCTCTGAGAGCAAGCTGAGTTTTCATTCAGGTTTGAAGCTGTCAGAATGCAGCTGTTTAGGCTCAGCATCTTTGAGCATGACGCCGCACTAGAACAAGAACTGCGGGCGTGTTCCCGCCGTAAGGCACCCAGACCAGAGATAATTCCTGACACTTGGTGTTCACCTTATGCTGAGCTCATGGAGCAGGGATGAGCTGCGTGTGAGAACCCTTACGCTGAGCCAAGCTGAGCCAAGCTGAGCCGGTCTCGACGGTCGACAGATTCCCATGACCATCCACGCCGTGCGAGGCCCGTGACGGCAGGTTCCCAACCAAATCACGACTAAGCTACTTTCACAATAGTTAGGCGCAGAAATCTTAAGGGAATTTTTGAGGTTTTGTTCGGAGAATAAGTTTGGACCCCGCCAGGTGTGCGACCGCAGGTGGTTCGCCCTTCCGTCCGAGTGCCACCAAAAGGCCGCATCTAAGGGTTTAATGCCTCCTCGTCCCATCCCTGCTTGAGGCATGCCTGTTCGGGTCACCGCACCTTGCATGTATGTGGAGACGCTGGCAGAATTCCATGTTGTTTTCCCAGATGCGTGCGACGAAGAAAAACGTAGAAACATCCAACTTGAGGTTTGTTCAGCAAGCTGTGGTAAGTTTTGTTCAGCCAGGTGGCTACGCGGCCCCAAGACCAGGCGGCACAGCTGGTCCAAAGCCACGCCCTGTTCGCGCCAACGTCGTCCCACCCCCAACCGGCTGAAACCTCAGGTCGTGTCCATGAGTGTCCTTAAGCCTTGAGGGCGCCCTGGCGGTCCCTAGGTGCAGCCCAAGCAGCCCAACGTCCTCCACCATACAGACCAGGTGTGTTCCGTTGAGCTCGTAGTTGTTGCCCCAGCTGCCTCGCTTGTGATGCTTTGCGGTGAGGCGCGGCAGTACGAGCCACAGAGCCGCCTCCAGCTGCAGCCGCCGCAGCCGCCGCAGCTGCAGCTCGGCACTGAATCGCTTTTCCATGAGCCTTGAAGAAAAACATCTCCTCTTTCAGACTCCCTTCGCAGAAGCATCAAAGTTGTATCTGTTCTACCAGGAAAGCCTTGACAGCACAAGAGACAAGTGCCTGGAATTCCGCGCAGGAGCCAGCCTCCTCGGCTCGATCACACCGTACGAGGAGCTGCACAGCTCCAGTGGAGCCCAAGTGACAGGGTATCATCTCAAGCACCTAATGCCGACTAGCTGCTGCTCTGAAATTTTGCCAGCAGCAAATTGCCAGGCAAGATGCCAAAACATTAAACCTGTTTGGGCCAGCAGGCGAGGAGGACGCCGCGTGCGCTTCACCGGTGAAGGATGGGGACCTCAGGAGGTTCAGGACTTGCTTTCCTTCTTGCCAGTCTCGCCAAGGGTGATTTCCAAGCCTCTGGGTGGGAGCGTAGAGCTACTGCAAAGGGCCAAGCTAGGCGCGCAGCGGCCCAGCTCGAACTTGCTTTAGACTTCGCAATCTGCCACTGCCTTCGCACTAAGCCAGGACTATCTGGAGAGCTTCGGGCCGATCTCGGAGGTAGACCAGCCGCAGCCGCCGCCGCGCTCAGGAAAAGCAAGATTTAGGAAGCTGGAAGCTGGACTGTGCTGAGACGACTTGTCTCATGGTGGGGCCAGGGACTGTGGGAACTCCAGAAGCTTTTTATCCCTCTGGGTTTGGACTTTCTTTGAGGGGCGTCTTTGACGTGGAATTCCTCGAGGAAGCCTCTGCAGTCCACGCGTCCCGCACTTAGCCTTTCCAGAAGTGGCAGCTTCTTCTAGAAGGTTGAGGGCCTTCGCTTGTGGCTGCCTTCATGGAAGTATTTTTTCATAATGTATCTAGGAGGAGCTGCGTCATTTGAGTCGAGCCCCAATGTGCCAGGGCGCGTGAGCTGGACGGCATGATGTGGGCGCAGGCAAGCAGAGCTACTGCCTCGTAAGTCACACTCAAGGGAAGTTGCCTATCCTAAGTAATCAGGCACAATGTCGTTACAGCTCTCCATTTGATTATGAAGTCTCGGCCTCTTGGCGGACCCCCGAAGTAAGGGTCAGAAGGTTGAGAACTCCTTCCGATCACGAGCATCCCTTCAGCGCCATGTGGATTTCATCCCGCGGAGTTGAGAGCCCGAGCACTTCGACGCTAGGGCGAATCGCCACTGCGCTGCCACCGCGTGGCGGTGCAGGAGCCAACGCCGAATCAAGATACGGTGGTGCCTCCTTGGGAATGCTAATTTGCTGAGTAATTGCAGTCAGCTCGTAGCAGCTATTTGGAACCTACTGTTGCCACACAGCTGTGGAGCCTCTTGGTTGGAAGGAGCCAGTGCAAGAAGAGCTGCAAATTATGCAGGCGCTCTGTACGCAAACTTGGGGTGCCTCACAGGCATTGCAGGATGTCTGGGGATTGTGGCAGCACCTATAGGCTAGTTGGACTGTATAGACTGGCTTGTAGTCGCAACGGCGCACCCATTCAAAGTTTGGGGATGGAGGCCTGCTAGGGATGTAACAGGATGTTGAAAGACTGATTCAGCAATTCCATCATTTGTTTGGCAGTTCTACGTGGATGAGCTCCTGTCTTGCGCTCACTCGCCTGGCCAGGGCCTTTTCTCCACAAGTTGATAGTACTTGTAGTGTATGTCAGCATGGAGAGATTCCAGAGGGAAGATAGACAACTACTGAATTCAGTCCCCTCAAGCATAGTGGTGCGCGAACTGGTTATGTCCAGTGGTGGGTGATGAGGTTACTCAGCGGGGGTGTCATGATCTACGCGTTTGGAATAGCGTGACTCTTTGTACTCCTTTCGGGATACACATCTGGAAGTTTCAAACAGCCTGAGTGAAGCATTCATTGCCGCTGTTGCCAAGGACGCATGGACAAGCAAGTGTTCCTGAGCGAGCTGCCGCTTCAGGCCAGAGCACGAAAGAGAGACAGACTTTTCATGCAGGGACAGAGCTTTCAGCAAATTGCCGTGCATAGATGATTCATGCGCTTCGTGGGAGCTTCATGTTGACAGTGGATCCGAGAGCTCCTTCGTGGTTTGAACGGATGTGACCTTGACCTCAGACATTCAGAGGCAGGTGCAGGAGCGTGTTTCTGTGAGGAGTACACGGAGGAGGGGCTGCACACGTGGCTGCCGGATGCCTGGAGACTCCGAGCGCTTTAAGCGGTGTGTGCTGGGCTTGCAAAGAGAACTGGTGGATACAGCCTGATACAGATGATGCTTAGGAAGGTCCCTCTAATCCAGAGAGTTCCTGGATCCTTCAAAATGAACTCCCATGTCCTGGCAGGGAAGAGTTCGGTCAGATTCAGAACTTCTGCTTGTTGCAGGCCAGGAGAGGGGCTGTAGATGGTGACTGTGACACACGCAGTCAACATGCATCTTTTGTGCTTCCGCCGCCAAAGCTTGTTTCGCGTTGGGACTATTCTTGCTGACAGGGTCTTGGGCGCTGGCAGAGAGGGCTGTTGGTGATGAGTAGGGATCGGGAGAATGGTGGGATCCATGCTTCCAAAACCTCCAACCAGCCAGCAGTAAAGTATTTGCAGATGGTTGCAGACCTGGAGCCTGGCCTTGAACCAACTCCCGGAAAGCGTTTCTGGTGATCCCAGATTGGCACCGAAGGTCCAAAGCAACACTTTTTTTTAAGCTCAGCAAAGCTTTGTCAGGCTTGAAGCTGAGATTCGCCTGCTAGCATCTCAAGTGCCACAGCGCAGCACATGAGCAGCAAAACCACCTGTCTTGGGAGTTCATCTCTTCTCCCTAGTATGAAGACGCCCCCCCCACCCCCTCAATACTATCTACGCCCTTCCGCATTAGAAATTTCCTGGCCTCAGAAATTTGACGCACAAATCAAAATCGATGCAAATCCATCCAACATCCCATAGAATCAAATAAAATCAATGGAAATCTAATCAGCATCATGTAGAGCTTCATTAACACCTCTTAAAGCCGACTAAGACTGTATTGGACTCAATTCATTTCTAGTCAGACCCAACCCAAATCGAATCCAAATCAATTTGAATTTCATGTAAACTCAGACAACTCCATTTATAAGCATGAAATAAAAATCGGAACTCACGGTGATCCCTAATTCCTTTTGCTTCATCATCATCCTCCCCCCCTTGTTGACCTCAGAACCACCGCAATTCATTGTGAGGTGCCCACTTCGAGAAGTAGTCCTGCCCGTTTAAAGACTATGTCTTCAGTTAGGTCCCTGGGTGTGTTCTTTCGTAGAGGGCGGGATTTACAGGGGGAAGAGATCAAGTCCATGGAGGTATGTCCAGGGTTTTTGCAATGAACAGCTAGGCGGCTGCAGGTTTAAAGCAATGAAATGTGTGTAGTGTCTGCAATCGTGCATATGCCAGTCTTCTGCATTCAAGAACTCAGTTGTTACTGTAAGCCTTGGGCTGTCTGCAGGATGTGAAGCTGGAGTACACAGGCTGCCGCCTTTTTGAGCAGAGGTGGAAAAGACAGCTCCGCTTCAAACCGCTCTTTGAGAGGCAAGGGCTACGTGACCTTCGCGGCTCACGAGCAGGCGAGAAAAAACGGCAAAAAGAGCCGGGCACAGCTGAAATTGTGTTTGAAATTCCAGTGAACTTCGCTTTGACTTCGGCTTTTAAGACGTCTTACACGGGGAGGCGGTGTCCTTGGTGGACACCTTGGCAGAGGAGGACGGTACCGACAGCATCATGATCAAGGGCTCATGGCCCACCTCCAAGGGACTTGGACTTTCTAGCTCGAAGTTTCAGGAAGTTCCCACAGATGCTCAGGTCGCTGTCAGAGAAGATGCTGCAGAAGTCACAAGGCGTGAGCCTGGAAACCTCACTCCCTTGCGGTAGGCAGCCTTTCAGCCTTTTGCTGCGCCGTGTCCAGGACCCTTCAAGGGAGACACGATCACCGCTTTGGCTCAACGATTGAGGCCTCGAGCCGACACGGAGACGGGCATCTCACCTTTTCCAAATCCGAAGGGCGCTGCAAGATAGCCTCAAGTGCGACAAGCTCCTCCTTGGCGGGGACCGCTTTGACAGCGGATTGCAGAACTTGGATGCTTGTCCATGGCATTTTGAACAGGACGGCTCACCATCAACCTTGGCGGAGATTACGGAAGTCCTTGGCCGGAAGCCATTCCAGTCCAGTCCTTAACACTCAGCCCAACTCTTTCTGCTAAGAGTTTGTGTTGAGGGAGCTCAAACAAAACCAAGGCAAGCCCTGTATATCCTTGCACGGACATCTCTACCGGAGGATGATGTGGCAGCTTGTGGCAGGGAGCAGAGCGGTTTGGAGTCTAGCAGATTTTGCAGCAGTGCTGAAGGAGCAAGTGAAGCAGAAGTTGAAGTCAGCCGTGGTCTTTGCCACATCAAATCCAGCCATGCCCAAGAAGGAGCCGTGCCATCGTGGCATGCTATGAGACTTGGCCATGTTGCTTTGCGCCATACAGGCCGTTCGCCCAGCTCAGCAAATGCCGCCCAACCTGCAGACGCCGCAGATGCCGAAGCTTTCCCCGGTGAGGCCAGGGCCACGACCAGCGGCACCCAAAGCTACCTACGTCCCCCCACCCCAAGGAGGCAAGACACCACGGCCCAGCGTGCCATCCGTGCGACCGGTACCGGTGGCGGCATCCGCCGCCCGTGCACCCCGAGCCCCAGGCACCCCAGCCCGTGGAGTATCAGGGGGTTCGGCTGCCACGCCAAAGGTGGCGGCCCTTTCCCCTTGCGTGCGGGGCTCAGTGCGTTGCAGATGTGCTAAAGTGATAGAATTTGCTCACAGATCCTCGTGCGCGGCATAGCCGCCAGCTGGACCGAGCAGCAGGCTCGAACGCTTCTTTGCCTTTTCTCCTTCTCTTAGCCAGAACAGGTCAAGCTGCTCTTCTCGGTCTTCGGCGGCGTCGCGGCCTTGCAGATGGCCCAGGAGTCCGTTGCTCTTCAGTCCTGATCCAAGTGTTGGTTCATGCCAAAGTGGGCTGCCAGCACGAGGACGCCAACGGCCGCTTTGCCCGAGTACAGCTGAAGGTTCCAGACAAGATGACAAAGGCGGCAGAGTCAGTGTCTTGAGTGTGTTGAGTTTCGGATGTTGAAGGAAAGGTGTAAGGTATTTTTTTAAATTTTCCCTACATAAATTGATGTCTCCTGGCAAAGGAGTGGCCCTAAAAAGCCCGAAAATGTTCCGCTGGGCACCTTGCCAGGCCGTGGAGCAGTTCAACAACACCCAGGCTGGATTCGGATTCTGCCAGCTCAGGGAGCCGTGGAGCCGTGGAGCCGTGCTGTCGCTCCTCAGAGGTAGGTGACGGCGAGCTGATGGAGGAGTGCACTCTCACCTGCGAGCTGCAAGGTCCTGTTCCAAGGCCAGGTCACCGAAGTCCACCGAGTCAGAAAATCCCTACCTCCGCAGTCCCTCCGCAGCCAGGCGAGTGATCCATGCAGTCTTCGTGGATGAGCTTTCGCTGAACTTCCCTGACCTGCAACCAACAACTTCAGACTGCGAGGCAATCGCCAAAACAAATCTTGCACTCCCCCTTTGCATTTGATGATAAGAGCTGTGAGCCACGTGCTCCAGCACCCCTGTCTCGACCGCCAGCTCTACATGCACAACTTGCCTGTGGCGGACTGTCTGGAGGCTTATGTTTGCTCTTGACGCCTCAATCCGTTTGAAAGGATGCTGCCGCCAGGATGACATCAGGGAATGGCTGGGTGGCTTTGGAGACGTGAAGGATTGTGGACTCTTTTCCATGCCTGTGCATTTATGGCATTCTGGTTGCACTTGTTCGAATTGAAATTTGGCAGGATCTGTGCCTGCTCCGCACCCCGTCGCAAGATGCAGCCGGCACGCCGTCGGGGCAGGCAATCCACCGTTGTGGTTGTGAACCGTTGAGGGCTGCATCCTATCAAGGAAGCAAGCCTCTTTCTACAAGAAGTCTTGTCAGCAGACTTGCAGCCAAGGCCTGTAAAGCGCGCCAGGCTAAACACGGTGACGTTGGCTCTTCTTGTCTGGTCCGGACTACGCCTTGGGCGGGACAACCGTAAGAGTTATATACATATATATATATATATTTACGTTTATAGAAATGTTTATTGAAATCTATGTTCCCCCCCCAATGACGCGCACGCATAGTGTCTGGTTTTACATCCTAATCTAGTGCAAGGTCCTCGGTTCGCCACAGAACGTAGTCAGAAATGCTGCTTTCCAAGTAGCATGCAGACTTGCCTGGAAAATCAATTACTTCTTCGAATGTGATTGCATATGCATGGAATGAAGTTTCTTTCTACCACTCTGACAAAAAACAAATTCCGCCTATTGATGAAGCACCCTTCAGATTCAACTCGTTTGACATTTTTTATGAGAGATCCACGGTGACGTAAGGTCCTTCATGCTTTAAGGACTGACACTTTACTTGAACTAATCAAGAATCCCAAGCAATCGAGCGTCCCACCTGCAACATATTTATTTAAGGAACGCAGGCAGCCTCGGGGCCGAGGGATGGTGGCCGGGCTCGAAAAGCATACTTGCTGGGGGGGAGAGCACGCACGCGCCCCCCCCCCTAAATTGGGCTACGCCCTGGGGTTGCTGCCGCAGGCCATGGCCCTGGCTTTGGCCATGGAGCGGAGGTCAATGCCGCCGACCNNCCTCCGTTTCTCCAAGGGGCCCTCCCGAACCTCATTCTAACACCAAGCCAAAATTTGCACGCGTTCCGGCAGCAAATCCCCACGGCACGGAAGGATTTTTGAAGGATTTCAAACCCCCAAAATCTGCATCATGAGCACGGAGGTTTTTGAAAACTAGCCTCCGAAGCCATCTGGGCCCGAGCAGGTTGGGGGGGTACCGGAAGACAGGCCCCCAATGATGCTGATGATGCTGGCCGCCTTGGCCAGCATCATCAGCATCATTGGGGCTCGCTTCTCCAATCTGAGCGGGGGGGAAGGGCCTTCCCTTGTGCGCGCGCAGGACATCATCAGCATAATCTGCGCCCATGGGCGGGCAACGCAGGCAGCATGAAGAGGGAGCCGTGCAGCGGTCAGTGATTCTGATAAATGTGCTCTTATGCATTATAGCTCACACAAGGCATTCATCCGCTGCCATATCGGCTGACTACTGCCCAGATGGGCCGACTTGAGCTTTCTTCCCGCTTAATGCAAAAAGCGCGCTGATGCTGTACTTCCTTTGCACAACCACATAGTGCTTGCATTGCAGAGAGCGAGTGGCTTGTTGAGTTGGCACGGGGGCCTGTGTGCTTTCTTGCTATGCCTTCGATTCCTCAGATGTTCAACCTGGCGGCTGCCGATGGAGAGGCCGAGGACTTGGACCTTGATGGAGTCGAAAGTGCATCGCAAGGAGTGAGATCGATCCAAGGGCATTCAACTGCTGCTGCCGCTGCGACTTCCGCACCATCTTGGCGTTGTGCCGTTTGTGGTGGCCCCAGCCTACACGGGACTGTGGACGGCAACTGGACATGCTCTGACTGCGGCAGCTTGGATTACGATCGGGTGAATGAGCAGACGTGGAGGCGCACCAGCTTTGGTACGTGGATGTTTTTCTCAAAGGGACAAGCACCGCCGCCTCCCTGGCTTCGTGCAACCGCGCCTGATCCCCAGAGCAGCCCCTCAGACCACCTTCGACTGCACCCTCTTTGGCGACGACAGCCGCGGAAGGCAGAGCAGCGAGACGCAGACGCCGACGATGACGGCATGGACCTCCAGGACCTGGCGGAGACTGGCGTGAGCAAGCTGAGTCCGAGACTTTGACTCAGAGCTCCCGACGCGATCGCCAACGGCCTGACCCTCAGCTATCTGGACCTGGACCTGCTGACCTTCGGCGTTCCGCTGTTCCTGACACGGCCGCCTAAGTGGAACTACGAGAAAGAGGACCTCAGAGCTTTTGCAAAGTGTGAGCGCAAGGCTTGGGTGTGGGAGATTCAAGTGGAGCGCGAGGCCGCCCTTCAATTGTACAATGCTTTGAGCGGGGAGCCGGAGCAAGAATTAGAACATGCGCCGCTTGATTGCATTAACAGCTCGGAGGGCATCATCTATATTTTGGAACAACTTCGAGGTCCCGTGTCTCAGCGCCTGGTGTACCAGAAGCGCAAGTACTTGGCCGATTTTGAGGGCATCAACAGGTACCAATGAGCACCGTGTCGGAGGAGTGAACGCAACGTGTCTGCAGTCGACGTCTCCGTGTGCGCCATGTACGATGGCGAGGCACGTGGAAGCAGACTTCTGGACCGTTCTCGCCTCAGCCCGCAGGACCAGCGCTTGGTGTTGGTCGGGTCGCGTTACTCCTTGACCTTTGAGGATATTTCCGAATCCTTGGTGATGCGGCTCCCGGACTTCAAGCCGCCGCCGCCGGTCATGCGCAAGGATGGACAGATCATCAATCCCAGACTCAGGACCAGGGCAGCGGGCAGGGGACAGGCAAGTGCGCGCTCCGCAAGGTCTTGGTCACGGAGACGGGCGAGAATCGACAACGACCAGGGCGATGAGGCCGCTTCTGAGGAACATGGCGGCGGCGGCGACCAGCTCCACGATGCCGACAACGACCACAACGACGCGGAGGACGACGCGGGCGATGAAGAGCCGGGTGAGGACCTGGATGACTTGATTCAGGTCCTGGCTGTGACGGCCAGACGCCTCGCCTCAGTTAAACTTGGACGGAAGTGTTCAGGAAGCAAGGTGCCTCCCAGCGAGCTCAAGAAAAAAAGACAGCGTGCGCGGCTTGCGGGGAGGTTGGTCACTGGCGGGGTGATCCCCAACGCAAGGTGTCTGGAACAGGTGCTTCCTCTTCTACATCGGCTTCATCGACTTCGTTCACCGGCGACTTCAGTTCCTGCCAATGCCAAGAAGGGAGGCAAAGGAGGGAAAGCAGATAAGCCGCATCAAGCTTTCGCCGTAATGCACAGTGACCTCGGTAAATATGAAATTCGGTCAGGTTATGGCACGGCCGTTGCAGAGTCCCAAGAAGGCAGCTATCAGGTCAACGTTGTGTTTGCCGCTGTTTTGTCACGCATAGCTCTGGCTTTGTCGGCTATGGTTCTTGATACAGCTTGCCAACGAACATGTTGCGATCGCAGGTGGCTCCGAGAGCGCAGAGACCTCTTGGACGTGTGCGGCCTCGAGACCAAGAAGGTGGATTGCAGGGATTGGTTTGAGTTCGGTAAGGGTGATCCGTTGCCTGTTGATCATCGTGCGTGTGTTCCGGCAGTTCTTGATAACGGTTCTTCCTTCTTCTTCGGCGCAGGCGTCCTGGATGCTGGCATCCCGCTGCTGGCGAGCAATCCTCTTCTCAAGGCGCTCGGCGTGATTTTAGACCCACCTAGGATGGTTGCCTACTTTGAGCAGTTGTCCGCTGAAGTGCCTGTGGTCAATCTGAATGGTCACCTTGCAGTCAACGTTGCGGCTTTTTCTGCAGACACGGTTGCGAGCTTGAAGCAATACATGGATTCCTGAGCGTGAGATATCTCCCAGTCAGGGCGCCGATGAGGCAAACCCGAAGCCGGTTTGCAAGGGCCACGTTCGGAGGCATCTGCCGTGCGCGCCTCGCTAAGTTCTAACCTCAAAGAATGCTATGCCACTGGGCCGCGAAGTCCGATTCTTTCCCACACCAGAGCTTTGGGTTATGCCGCGGCCAGCTCGAAGATGCTGGTCGCGAGGGGGGATTCCGAAAAATTGTGGGGCAGGAAATCTGGGTTACACCGTTCCACTGGCCGCTTGAATGACCCACAAAAAAGGCTGATGAATGATGAAGTCTCTGTCGCTGGAATGCCGAAAGGGCACTCCAGGGGAAAGACACCGCAGCGACGAGATGAAAATGAAAAATCGGGGGAACACGGAAAGGGCGACGGTGGAAACGAGAGAGGAAAACCGGGGGAACACAGAAAGGGCGACGGTTGAAACGAAGGAGGAAAATCGGAGGAACACAGAAATGGCGACAGGAGAGACTCTGTTGACGACACGCCCGGGCGTAGGGAAGAAGTGTATAATCGTGAGGGAAATCGGCGGCGCCATGTAGAATACTGAATCGGGACAACAACGCAACGAGCTATAGTGCTGGCCGCGCCCGTGGGTTTCACGGTGCCCAGCGCTGTTGAGAACGGGGATATGCCCGGGTGACACGGGGGAAGGTGCTCGAAATCGGGGAACGGTGCAACCGGAACTGCGTAAGAGTTAGCGGCTACGAACTGGATTACCACGATGGGTCGATCATCGTGTGTGTCAAGCGTATGGGGAGAAGAACCTTCGCGTAAACGCTGAGGAAGCAGCATTGTTCTACAGGGGCGACATGCTACTGCGTCCCAAACTTTGCCAAGCCAAGGTACAACGCAACCACGGATGGAGCGAGTAGGCAGCAAACGGGTCAAAGGGACAAATCCTTCTCCCACAAGGATGTTTGCTGGCCATGCGAGACAACGAGGCCAATGGTCCCAAGGTTGCTGATAGCAGGGGGTAGCTCAGTGTCTCAGTGACTTGGAAAATACGGGGAAAGGTTCGGGGAATGACGAGAGGACACCAGAGTTCGACCTACCCGCGGAAAGGAACCACCGCCACACAAAAGCGTGCGAATTACCAAGTTCGGGAAGTTGATTGCGGTGGCTAGGGGGAACGAGCTTTCAGAGGGACCTCGCATGAGAGTGGCAGACATTCCATGGAGTGAGTCCGAGGGAGTTGTAATCTTCTTGCCAGAGAGAAGAGCACGACCTAGGAGCATAAAGGCATGGCATCATAGGGAGCTACGCGAGCCCAACTTTGAGGAACAAGTGGACGTGATGGTCGTAGCCGAGGCCTGTGAAGCGCTTGAGAGCAGGAGGATGCCCGTGTTACTCATCAACCCTGAGGGAACCGTCATGTACGCAGACGTGTTTGAGCGTCTGGGTAGAGCACACAGGTTGGGGAAGCCTACTTACGTCCAGAGAGTGGCCGGGCTAGAAGACATGAGGTCTGGCGCCTGTGCAGGACTGTGTTTCCTGTCCTCCTCTAATGTGGGCTTCATCCCAGCCAGCATCATCAGCGGTGCCGCCCACACATGGTACTGCCGGTGGTTCGACAACGTGAAAGGCGGCTCCGCAACAGTGATCGGAACATCATCAATGTGCTGCGGATACTGCGAATAAGGAAGCCCAGGGTACGACAGCGTGGGGGAACTAGGCAAGAAGACCGAAAGAAAGTGTACCGGGGACATTCCAAAAGCAAAAAGGGTAGAAGGGAGACAGCCGCAGCTGTCAGCTGAGAGTAGAAAGACGTGAGAACGGGCTGAAGGCTCTTTCGAGGGGGACGGGGATACCTGGAGGACTGAATGACCTTTAAAAAGAGCCTTAATATGCGTTTGGAATTTAAGGGTCGTTG